TGAAACTCATGAAATATATTCATTAACAATATATTTGAGTAAAAATATTAATGGAGGAAATAAGAATTTAAATTTATTTGGCTTCTTATAATAATGATAAAAAAATCAATTATAAAGGGCGTTTGAAATGATGAAACCATCAAATATGTTTATTTCTAATATATTTAAATATTTGAGCAAAAAATATTAATGGAAAAAATAGGAATTTAAATTTTATTTAGTTTTTATAATAAATTAATAAATTATAGAGGGAGCTATTTTTAAAGTTAATTATAATATATTTTATAAATAAAAATTAAACATTAATATTTTCTATAAAAAATATTTAAAAATACATATTTTTGTACCCCAATAAAAAGGTAATATTATTATAATTACTTTCTTTATAGATAGCGCCTTATATAATTGCTTTTATTATTCCTAAAATTATAAAAATTAAATTTAAATTCCTATTTCCTCCATTAATATTTTTTACTTAAATATTTAAATATATTAGTAATAAACATATTCGATGAGTTTCATCGTTCCAAACGCCCTTTATAATTGATTTTTTTATTCTTAAAATTATAAAAAACTAAATAAAATCTAAATTCTTATTTTCTCCATTGATATTTTTACTAAAAAATATAAATATATTGGGAATGAACATTTTTCATGAGTTTCATCATTTTATGTGGCACCTAATTTGTTTGTTATACCAGAAGTACTACGACAATGAATATATTTTTAAAATAATTTTTTCTTTTCTTAAGGAAAATTTTAAGGGCTATAAAATGATATAAAATTTGTTACTTTAAACCAAAATTATTTTGAGTATTTTAAGATTCGTTAAAAGTGGAAAAGGCTCTCATCTAACAATTTTGATTTTTATGAAATATACAATCTATTTAACCTTCATGCTAAGTTTCATCCATTTTAAAAATGGTGGTCCAAAAATCACGTTATTTTGGTCAATTTGTCATGTATTTTGTATGACTTAATTATTTGCAAAGTATAAATTCATTATTAGGCTGAGTGGATTTTCCTGCATAATATCGTGACCTTAATGTCCTTATAAATCTTTCCTCCAACCCGTTCATCTTTAGATGTTACTACGAACTAAAGATCTACTTGATCCCCTTACTTTTATAAAATCTCTATAATGAAATCAGTCTGATATTTAAAATTTTTTAGAATTATATTTTGGACATGTTTATATTTTTATATTAAAAAAAGCATATTTATTTTTTTATAAAGTTTCGAAGTTTTGCTAATCGAATATTTTGATATTTTGGACACAGCCTAAAAAAAGAAAATTGCTGACTTGACTCAACCTCAACCTCAACATAAAATTAATTTTATATCCACAATCCGACCAAAAAAATCAAAATGTAAATTAATTTTACCTTTTTTGTTTGATTTTTTTATGAAATAATCTTAAAACGGAATTGTAAAATATATAATAAGGTTGAGTCCAAAATCTATTTAAAAAAAATCGAAATTTCAAAACTTCTTAAATTTTATGAAATCTTATGTTAAATTTCAAAATGTTTTTATAGAATTATATTTTGCCCTAACACTCGAGATTTTACTGAGCCCGAACCCTTTAAAAATTTAGAGTTCTAGGATTTAAGAATTTTTCTTTTAAAATTCTCAACATTAAAAACATTTTTTTTGTCAAAATCATTTTTATAATATTTTATATAAAAATTTTACCACCATATTTTGATAATATATAATAATATTATGTTTTAGGAATATTTAATGTTGTTAGTGTTGTTAAACGGTTCGATTAAGCCAATTTTAATTTATTATAATTCTAACTAATATAATATTAAGCAAGCCTCGAGATTTAGTTTATAGATGTCTAAACATCTATGAGCAAATAAGCTCATGCAATTTTTTTCGGATGAAATATTGGGTTAGCCGTTTTTAAAATTCAAGCTATTTAACAACACTAATTGTTAATTAGATTTTTAAAATATTATATTTATGTAACAAAACAAATGTAAGTAATCAATGAGGAAGGAAGAGTAGATCTAGGAAAACTTCTTGGAAAGAAGACCGCCATTGAAGTATATGTACTTAGCTTTAAGGATAATTGCCAGCAATCTTAAGAATAAGTCTTCTCTAGGATTTACCAGAGGGCTTGCAGATGTGAGATCTTAAATCTTTGAAGTTTAGGTAGTGGAGGACGAAAGAAAAAAAAACAAAATCACAAAAATAGCTTTATTAAATATAAATTGCATTAGGCATAAAATATTTTAATTTTAACATTAGATTTTGGAAGATATCATGATATTTATCATATAAAATTTAAAAAAACAAATATAATTTTTTAATTATAATTATGATAATAAATTATTTTTATGGTATGTATATGTTAGCGTCAATGTGTTTTTTCCTGCAATGTGTTATTTTTTCAACTTTTATTTTTTAAGCGCGTATTTAAATCTCTGATTTTACCGGAAATGTATGCTGTCATGTTTGGAATGCCTACCCTATGAATTTAAGACAATGTTTCCATGAACTTTTATACTTAATATAATTTTTATTAAATTTGCCTTATATATTTTTCATATAAATTATAAATGACTCAAATGTTAACAGAAAATTGTCTACAATTCATAAGATAAGTATTCCAAACATGATAGAATACATTTCTGAACCCGATTTTTAAATAATTAATATTTCTATTTTTTACTAAATTTAAAAAGTCCTTATTTTTCTAGACTCCAAACCCTAAACCCAAACCTGGTTCATAAATTTTTTATTGAACTCGAACCTGAACCCCGTTTGGAACGAGAGCATTTTTATAAAATAACTATTTTTACTCCTTATTGATACATTATTTCAATTAAATGAAAGATTTATTAGTCACAATTTTATTTTAAACAGCTTTTATTTTCTTTTTCCGGTTGAGTCTAAGTAGATACCCTTGAAACGCGGGGAGGATATTAAGAAAATCTCAGAGTTTTATTCTGATGAATTATCAGGATCGTATGATAAATTACTTTGTGATGTCGAATTTTGGTATAAAAATTTTGACAGAATAGAGTACTCTTTGAGACCAAAATATGCTTTGCAGGCCCTTTTCATGTATAATTGCACTTTAGATTCCCTGCCTAATATCAAAACATTTTTATCTTAGCTTCCGATTAGACTTGCACTAATGAAAGGTCTTTTTCAACTTTGAAAATGTTAAAAACCTATTTAAGAAATAGCACCGGTGAAAGCCGTTTAAATGGATTCGCAATATTAAATATTTATAAGGAGATTATTCCAGATAAAAATTTGATTCTAGATGAATTAATCAAATCTCAGAGAAAATTAGACCTCTCTTTATAAATTCAAATTATAAAATTGCTATATTATTATAATATGATCTTAGTCATAAAATTTTTATATTCATAATATTTATATATTATACTATTTTTAATATATATATTGCATTTGCACTAAGAATTAGTGATCTGCATTGGGTCTAATTTTTCAAGCCCGGCCCTGCCCGAAATTATTTTAAAAAAGTTTTGCCTGCCCGAACCCGAAATTTTTTTTTAAAAAGTTTTGTCGGCCTGGCCTAAATTTATTTAAATATAGAAATTCATTTTTATAATTACTCAAAATAAAAGATATATGTTATATGGCGTCTAGTTTTTATAAATAAAATCAAATATTTTTATTTTACATAAAAAATTTAACATAAAATTGATATATTTAAATATATTTAAAAAAATTTTCAAGGCCCGACCCAACCCGACTCGAATTTTAAAAAAAAATATTAGGCCCGACCCAGCCCGCGATTTTCCTACTTTTGCAGATCTCTAATAAGAATTATTTTTTTATTAATATACTCATTTGTATTAATTATATTATAATTGTTAAATTAGATTTTTAAATACCGCACAAGAATTACTCATATTTTATTGTAATTCTATTTTTTTTAAATATAGTTATTTAAGAATAAATTTTTAATATAATCTGTATAAAATTTATACATTTTGAAATTTATTATGTTGTATAAATAATAAATAAAATCTATAATGAAATTCTCTGCAAAATTTTGTTATATGCAAAAATTTAATTAAAATAATTATTTTTAACATAGAATAAGATAAATTGAGTGATCATAAAAAATGGGAAGTTTGGGGGGCGATTTTATTCTTCTTTCTACACCGAATGGATTGAATTAATTTACAATTGACTAAACATTGATAAAATTTTCAGAATAATGCTTTCAGTCGCGTAATAATCATAAATTTGGCCAAAATTTTGTTACTAATATTTTTTTCATTTATGCTGGCTACTATAGTAGTTAGACACCAATAAAGCACAAAATTGGGAAATTTTTAACCCCCCCCTACATGGATCAATCCTGGCTACGCCACTGGGAACAAGCGTTCGCAGCCCTGATTTTTATATTTAAAAAAAAGCTTCTTTTTTTTGATAAAGTTTTAAAAGTTTGCGAATTTGATTTTTTTAAATTTTGTAAACAGCCTGATATAAAATCAAACTTTTATTTATAGATATCACTAACGTAAATAGCCTAATGTATACGGGATGGCTAAAAAAATAACGCTAACATAAAATTTAAAATGATTTTTTGCCTTAGATTTTCTACTTTTCTTTTGAAATAATTTTTGTCAGATCCTGTCCGATCGGATTTGTTTTCAAATTATTTGGTGTATTTAAATATTTTGTAAAGGTTTAACCCATACATTAATATCACTATTAAATTCAATATAATATACAATATCTTTTTAATTATATATCACTTATAGTAATATATTATTATTTAGAGTGTAGCTTATGGAAATGGGAGAAGGGGCGGGGTATCTAAGAGTTGAGTGAAAGGGGTTATTCATTAAAGAATTAGGATTTGAGATATTTAGCAGAATGTGTGGCTCTAATTTATGAGAATGTATAGTTTAGTCAAACCAAATTAAATTTGTAAATGAGTAAAAATTTATCTCATCCAACTATACAAGATATTTTTAAACCATATTTCTTTAATCTTCTAGCAAAAGTTTTTTGATTCCGGTGACTACAACATGGCTATAGCTAGCAAAAACAAATCCAATAAGGCGCCTGCTGACATAACATTAAACAATTCTAATACCATGGTTTTTAATCCTAATATCTCTTCCCCTAATAAATTGATTAATAACACGGTTTCAAATTCAAAAATAAATGACGAATCCAAAAAAAAAAACTTCGAAAATGTAATCATATGTGACAAGGGTACTTGTGTTGAACAGGGTGTTATTGATAATTTAACCTTACACAAAGAATATAGAGAAGATTTAGATTTAAATAATATAAAAATCAATTCTAGCAAGAAAAAAGTTGCTGATATACCTATCAATTCAAACTCGGCCTTTTTTGACTCTTCTAATAATATCGTGAAGGAAAAAACAGAATTGAAGGAAGTTAATAAAAGAAGAGAAAGCACTTCGCTAGGCCATGAATCAAATCCCGGCCTCGACAAAAATTTAGAAGACATAATGGGAAGGGTCATTCCAACTCCTGAGAATGTGCCTGCTCGAAAAGCTAGTATACCTATATTGCTAGGCAGCAACACTATTGGCTTGCCAGCTTCACTTAAATCTACCCAACAATCTCACCCACATTTGACAGTTTATAACCATAATCAATCTCATAGACACTCTTCACTTCAATAATATGGATATCTAGTGGAGCAAACCATATAAATGTTATTGTTTTTATCCCTTATACTATATTCTAATTTGTATTTCTTATTATATCGATAAGAAAGGTAAACAAAATTAAATTATAATCAAATTTTGTAACCCATTTTCTTAATATTTAATGGAAGGATTTTAAATTGTTTTTTTTTAAAAAAATACTTTTTATAAATATCATTGAAAAGATTTTTTTGTGTATTTTTGCAAAATTCTATTTTTATAAATATTATAGATGGCGATTTATAAAATCAATTTTCTCCCTTTATATTTAATATAATATGTTAATTTTTTTATTGCTACACCTATTCATAGATAATTCGTAATTTTAGATATATAAAATAATGTTTCTTTATCAATGACTTAATTAACATAATAAAATTTTAATTGGAATCCTCTTTATTTTAAATCTTTCATATATGATGTATTTCACAACAAAACAATTCAACCAAATTTTTTCCCCATAACTCTGTCTAATTTAAATCATTAAGATAATAGAGGCGAAATATGATAGGTTGAAGATTTAGTTCATTTATAAAACTTTTCTTTACTATGACCATTTTAGTTTTATGAACATCAATTTGTATGTCATTTAAAAAACCAGGGTTGGGCAGTATTGCAAATACTTGTATCTTAAATACACGTTACTTTTGTATCATATCGTTCATTTTGAAAAAATATCCTCTATCTATTTTCTTAAATGCTTTTTTAAAAATGAGCATCTGTATCTTTAACGATTTAATATGCAGAAGATACATAGATACTTTTTATTATTTTTTGATTTCGAGTTAAACTTTTAAACATTTTTATAAAATTTCCCACCAATAATTATTATCATCTTAATGATATTCTCAAATGATGATTTGTTTAATTTTTTTTAAGGTTATATATCATTAATATTGATAATAAAATTTAATAAATATATAATATAAATAGATTTAAAAATGCTTATAGTTTTCTGCAGCTTCAATACATCACCAATAATAACTTAAAAGATAATTCTGAGATATACTAAACCATTAGTAATACCTATTGATCACCATTTTAAATCCTTATTGTAAAATTAGATGGATGGGTTGATGATGATAAAAAATATCTTTTGCTTAAGATGAAGCACATGTCATTTTTAATATACACTGATAATGCATCTGACCAGTCTACAATTCATCCTCTTATATTAAAGAGGATAATTATTTTTGTTTTAATAATATACTTTTTAAAAGTAATAAGGATAATGAAAGGGAATTATTTAATTATATTAAAGACGATTGTCCTGGTACCAGAAACTAACATAAATTAAAGCACATTAAAGATATTTTTTAAAGTATACTATTTTGCCTTCTACAATCCCAGTTAAATCGCTATTTAGATTTAAAACTTGTCAATTGACACATAAAAAAAATAAAATAGAATTTTTAGTTATTTGTAGGGCTGTGCCGATCCACATATTTTCACCGATCCGATATTGGCTCAAAACAAATCCGATACCGATTCGATTTGTATTGATTTTTCACCACCCCCTTTGAATAAAAGGTAATTAAGAAATCAATAATTTTTTATGCAAAAATATTATGCATTTAATTTAATTTTTTTATTTCTACTATAATTAAAAAAAGTTTACGAATATTGATAGTATTAAATGAATTTTTCATTATTCCTCCCCGTGAAATTAGAATAACGCATTTTGCAAAATTATCTTTGTCTTTTGTAATATTTCCATAATTCAGATATATTTTAAAAAATTATTTTATTTAAGGTATAAATAATGAAATTGGCTTTTTTATTTAAAAAGATTTAAAATAAATAAAACTTTGGTATAAAAAATTTTTTAAAATATATTAAAAAAAATAAATAAAATTTGTCCATATGCATTGTTTAAAAAAAATTATTTCGAAGATATTATTAATGTAAAATAAATATACATAAAATAATATAAAAAGAAAAGTAAAAATATCGGATCGGTTTTTTTACAGATATCTACCCGATCCTATATTTTTGGAAGACGCTAAATATCGATGCCGATCCTATCTGATATTTAATATCGGCACAGCCCTAGTTATTTGTATCTTTTTAATTACTTTTATAAAATTTATCAACAATTTTTTCATATAAAATCATAATATACACCCTATATAAAATTATATTAAGTAAAAAGAATATAAATAGAGTGTGTTGTTAACCATTATATTTATGTCTTGATTTTTTAAACACAATGTCCAAAAATATACGGTTTCACATTATGTCGGTTTTTTTAAAATATCTTTTTTAAGTATCTGTATCTCTATCTAAATACACTTTTTAATTTTTTATCAAGTATCTGCATCTTGTATTTTATTGAACTTTTTGAAAAAGTATATTATATCAAGGGGTGACCACTTTTTGGAGGCCGATCCGATCCGATATTCCAGATATTAAATTGATATCGGCCGATAACTGATCCGATATTATATCTAATTTTGTATTCTGTAAAGATACCCGTTTTAATTTTTAATATACTTTTTATTAGTACAACATCTATAATTTTACTATACCATAACATATGTCATTTAAATATAATCAGTTATAGTTTATATTCAATTCACTTGCTATTATTTATATAATAAGTAATAACATTAATCTATTTACATAATTAGTAATAAACAAATATATTATGAAATTTGAAATTAATATATCGAAGATTTCTTTTTAGAAATACCAAAATTTCCAATTTATCAGAGATCGGTCTGCGGTGATGGGGACTGTTAATATCACTAGCATCACTAAAAACAGATTCGGAAGAAATTAATGAACACTTTTTTCAACAGAATGCGAAAAAAAACTGCAGATTATTTATTAACTAATTATTACTATTAAAAAAATTATACAAAAATATATTTCGATTTTATTTATAAGAAAATGATTTGGTTTTTTAGATATAACTTTTTTAAAAGCGCCATTTTATATCGGATCGGGAAATTTTATAATATTTGCCGATAACCGATATTTTAAAATGGGCGAAATATCGGCCCGATCCGATATAAAATATCGGTACATCCCTAATTATATCTATATCTTTATTACTTATATTTAAAGAGTATTTATACCTGTTATTTTTTTTTAAAATTGCCCATTTCTGCAAACAAAACTAGTATTTTTGAATAATCGAATTTAATGCATTCCCAAGATATTTCCATTTTTGTAAAAATTTGTCAATTTTTGCTTTTTATTTGCTCAGTCCATACAACTCTGAGAGGAAAAAACTAAAATCGCTTTTACTTACCATGAGGTCATGTAAATTTCAAAATAATTGAATGACAAAAGAGGTCTGCCTATGCATTATGCTTATCCCCATTTAATAAATGGGCGGAGTTAGGTATTAAACAGAGTTTTAAGGGAAATTTAGCGAAACAGGTAATTTATTTTTAATAAATATTTTAAAGATCAATATTAATATTTTTCGTGTTTTAAGCATATTATTTAATGACAAGTTGTCTGCTTACGTATTATGATCCAATTAATGGACTGAATTAGGTATTAAACAAAATTTGGATCCATAATTCGGACCTGGGACAAAGAATGTACATATAAATTTCCCGTGAGACTGAGGAAAATTTGGCGAAAAACATTTTTTATAAAAAAATATTTTATAATCAATATTATTTTTTTCCATGTTGAAGTTATCCTATACTTTAATAATACAAAATAAAGTATATATATATATAAATATATATATATTCTAAAATACATACCCAAAGAATAATTTAACTTTTATTTTATCTAATAATAACACATGATCTAAAACAAAAGAATACAAAAGGTTATCTATCTCTTATTCGAAATCAATTGAAAAACATCTATATCTGTCAATTACATATCAACAGATATAACACGGCCCCCTTTCTTTAGAAAATCAAACTGGGGTAAAAAATGCAATTTACGCACATATATATATAATCAAAGTATGTCTACATAAATTCTAATAAATGATCAAATATAATTATAAAAATTATTATTTATTTTCTTTAATTTTTTTTGTAGGTTCCAGGAAGTTGCATATTTTTTCTTGACCATACATAATATTTCAATTGTGCTGTTGATTATCATTTAATTTGACTGTATGTATAGATTGATTTATCCATTGTGGTCAGTCATTCATGATCATTCTATCCTAAGCTTGGTATTATTAATCCAACATCATCGTAGTTGATTGGTTGGATTATTACGAATAGTAAGTTAATCCAATGTTTATTTAAAATTATATCCAAAATGTAATCATTATTCATTCCTTTTAACATTATCCTAAATACACTTCTTCCCTATCAATCATAATCCTGAATTTCAAATATTATACCAATAGAGGCCTTTTTTTATATTATGAACTACTACTTTCCCCCTTTTCTTGGATCTAAAATATCAAATGGCCAATCTATATATAAATAAATCTTTAATCAAAATTTTAAACATAAAAATATTCTAATATTCTAATGGCTCCCTCCATTATTATTCTTTACATATATATAAATCGACATTTATACATATAACATCCAAAATATTTTTATCAATTTACCTTTACACATTATTTTTCTATTTAAAAAACTTGAACTATTTATGACCCATTCTTGATTATCAATCCATCTTTAGCACTTCATCACAAAATTTCTTTTTTTTAAACAACATTATTTAAACATTTCATATCCATAATTTTCTTTTCATTTTTTTTAAGCATTGTCAAAATGTTTCATATCCATAATTTTCAATTCCACCTTTTTTTTTAAAAAATATCAATATTATCACAATCATTCTTTTTTTTTAACATTATATTTCAAAAAAAATTTATTCATGCTAATAATTCCAAAATTTAAATATTAAGCAATCTTTTCTGTCCTGCATATCATGAGGTCTTAATTTCCTATGACGGAATATCTATAACGCATTCAATAAGTCTTAAGGCTTACAAAATAATACCATAAAAAACTTATTATCAAAACATTAAAATCAAAATATATAAAACAAAAATTATTATTACCCCTATCATATCCAATGGTACAAAAATTATTAATACCTCAACCATATCCAATGGTTCAAAAATATTTCCAAAATTTTCTCATATATATATATACCATATCCAATGGTTCCCAAAAAATTTTTTATCACAATAATATATAAAAATATCTTTTAAACCCATGTTTTACTTTTTATCACTTATTTTAATTTTTTGAATTAAGACAATTGAAAACCTTTTAAACCCATAATTTACTTTCTATCTTTTCTTTTATTTGCTCAAAATTTAACTATTAATAACTTATAAATTTTTTTTAAAATAAACACACTTTATTGAATTTCACACATCTCTTTCTTTTTAAAAGGAACTAATAAATACAACATTAACTTTACCCTCATAATTCTTTCAACTATATATAAATCATTATTATATCCAAAATTTAACTTCTAAACAGGGATGTGAACCCGGATCCTGAACCTTAGTATTTTGGCTGAACCCGGACCATTTTTAAAAGTGGAGGGTCCAAGGGTTTTAGGTGTCATAAAAATTTTTAAATTTTGATTAACACTTTTTTTGTGGAACCTAGATTTTATTTTCACGTTTTTTTTTTCAATTTTCTTCCTGAACTTCCAGAGATTTATATCTTTAGTGTAGGTAATAATATTTTATTATGTAAATATTTTAATAGGCTATATTATAGAAATACGTTGACTATTTTTAAAGTGAAATATGTAATAATATTTTAATTTAAATGATAATGCACAACACGTTGGTCCTCAATATGTATGATGCTAGAACAATTATTAAGTTTGAAAGATTTCTGTAATGATTTTATTTTAGGAGCATGTGAAGTCATTTTGTCGGAAGATGATTGGTGCCAAATAAATGACCTTACTAGTGTATTAGTTCTTTTGAAAATAACAATATTAGGATTACAATCAGAACAATTATGTTTATTTGATTTTTATGGCATATGGATTAGATGCCGATTAGATTTAGAATAATTTCTAGTCCTTTTTATACGAAATAGAAAACATGAAAATTCGAGAGCAACAAAATTTGCAAAATAGTGTTGTATACGCTTCTATATATGTAGACCCTCGATATCAAGTTTTATTGAGTATTGATCAAAAACAAATGGCTAAAGACCATCTTAAGGATTTATGGCATACGCAAAACTCCATTATTTACAATATATTGGAGGCTACAACAATACCTACTGGGTGTAGTGATAACCTGTACCCGGGACCCTTTTTTTTGTCGAAGGGTTCACATCCCTGCTTCTAAATATCAAAATATCTTAACCATTTTAATCAATATAAAATCCTTTCATTTTCTATTATTTCTAAATTCATATAAATTTCTAATATAAAATCAATTACTAAATATCTAATTTTTGTTTCATATAATTTAATTCTATTAATATTTTTTTTATTTAAATTAAAATACATTATTTATAACCAAATCTTTTAACAATATATAAATCATTTATGTATCCAAAATTTAACTTCCAAATATCAAAACATCTTAACCTTTTTAATCAATATAAAATCTTTTCACTTCCTATTATTTCTAATATAAAATCAATTATTTAACATCTAATTTTTATTTCATATAATTTAATTCTATTAATATTGTTTTATTTAAATTAAAATTCTCTATTTATATCCAAATATCTCTTTCAAAACATATTCCATTTAAATTTCTCTTTTTTCTTCTCTTCTCTTTTTCCCTTCCATCTATTCCAATTTTTCTCTACTTTCTTTTATATAATTCTTTTCATACAAATATAATTTTGTTTTACCTTTGTTTCAAATCTTTTTTTTATTTAATTACTAAAATTCCATGATCGTATATTGTTACATTTATATTGTGCTACAATTTTCCTAAGTGTCTTTGCATCGTCACGGCACTACTATCTATCCCTTAATAATACAAATTAAAGTATATATAGATATATATTCTAAAATACGATCCCAAAGAATAATTTCACTTTTATTTCACCTAATAATAACACATAAAAGAAAAGAATGAAAAATGTTATCTATCTCATTCGAAATCAATTGAAAAACATCTATATCTGTCAATTACATCAGCAGATATAACAGAAATCATATAGACTATTAACATTATTTAAACAAGTATGATATAATTTTTATTATTTTGTGCGTTATCTTATTTTAACGATTCCAGATAACTTGAATATCTAGAATCGAGCAATTTGTCATTTGCAGAATTACTTTTGTCATAAACTAAGAAATTCCTAACCTTATCATTTTTTTGATACCATTTGAGATTTCGAATAATCAGTAAAAAATAAAAAATTTCGCATGCCCAGTGAGTTACATTAGGCAACTTTAAGGTTAAGTAGTTGTTTTGTGTTTTAATTGTAGATATCAAACTTATTGGATTATATATATATTCTAATAATTTTCACCTTGTCTACTAAAATTTAAATCTGCAGTACTTTATATGAATACTTTCCTCGTATTACTTGTATCATCAGTTATTATAGGGGTAATATTTGTATTTCCTATATTTTATATTTTTCCCCTGGAAGTAAATTCAATATTTAATTTACTTTGCTCTTCAGATAATTATATTTTGGATGTTTTATTACCATTATGTCTTCGAAATAATTAATGAACTCAGCTTAATATAATTTATTTTGAAATAAAAATATGCAGAATAATACATAAAATAAATAACTGTTAAAAATACGCTTAGTAGATATATTCAAAATACCAGCGATAGTTCAATTTGAGATAAAAAATAGAAATTATTACAAATATAGAAAAAGATTATTAGAAGTTTTAATATAAGTTTTGAAAAAATAATATGTTTTTCTAAACTTCTTATTAAAAGTTTTTTAAAGTTTCAGAAAAGGATATGTTTTTCTCAACCTGTTTCTGCAATAATTTTAGCTAGATAACTGCCTAAGAATGTTCTTAAACCTATATGGAAATGTATTACTACAAATTATATAACTTCTTTTGTCATATTTTCTGTCAAACTATATGATGTCAATCATTTTATTTTAGCACAATATTAATATATTTATTTTAATTTCCACTCATAGACCAGCGTGTTTAAATAATGCTAAGAATAAATGCTAAAAACAGTTATAAGATTATTGCAAGCTATATATATAACTTAAATAAACCAGTATTTTTAAGGCAAACGTAATTTATATATATCTTATATATTTAAAATTAATTATAGTTCTCTTTTATCAAGTGTTACAAATTTGCAACCAGATGTTTTGATTCAAGATTTAAATAAACATGACAATAACCATATATTTGATACTGATATCAAAAGTTTTAAAAATACTGAACTATTGAGAAAAAGGGACGATTATTCATTATTAAATGATAATTTAGACAAAAGTTTTTATGAACTTGATGTTCAAGTAAAAAAGTTTGGAAGGTTAAGAAAAAACGAACTAAATGATATTCTTAAGGATATTGCTAATAAAAGTATATAATGTAGTTAATAAATATAACACATAATTTAGAAATTATGACTTCTATGCAAGCATTGTTATTAATAAGATGTTGTGGAGATTTTATGGTTGAAGAGCATATATTGGAAAGAAATAAAATCCTTGATAATATTATAAATTTATGCCAAAAATTAAGTTGTTGTATTTTTCTTATTTACATATTATATATTATTTTAGATGTTAAATTTGATATAAGCCACCTCAATAGTTTGTTAAAAATATTTTGTGAAAACAAACACTTTTTAGCATTACCAAATATTAAATCATTTGATAAAGATATTAATAAAGATGAATTAGCTATTAACATATTAAATGATATATTTCCAAACTTCAAGATTATCCAAAATAAAGATATTCAACCTAGTCGGATTACTTACCAAAGATTAGTTTCCTATTTTTGTGAATCTGGTGATATATCAAAAGCTGAACAAGTCCTAGAAGTTATGAAAGCTAAGGATATACCTGTTAATGAAGCAGTTTTTGCATCTTTGATTAGTGCTTATGGATCTTTGAAAGATTTTGAAAATGTTATAAGCATACTAAGTGTAATAATTATTCTAGGTTTATTTATAATATATTTTAAATAATAAGATCATGAAACAATCTGAATTGGAGCCAACTTCCTTAATCTATACCAATATATTCAAAGCATTAGTTTTAGAAAATAATTTATCAGAACTTAATAAATATCTAAAAGAATCTCAAGAAAATGGTTAATTATTTGTTTAATCTTTTTATTATTTAAAATAATAAAAAAATATTTTTGTAATTATTTTTAATATAATTTGTTTGCTTAGGTGTTTTCCTATTGAACAAGGATTTGTTAGATGTGGTATTTTTTGCTATTACCCAGTCTAAAAAATATTCCAATACAAAAAATGATCATATTTCAAGTTGTTTATCCTCTAGCTGGGAACAAGTGGCTGAGTGTTTGGTACCTTATTTAAAGCCACATTCTGATTTTATGCAAAGTTTAATTAATGTTACCCATAAAGTTTTATCATTCAATGGTTTGGACAAGGATGCCTATAAAATGTTTAAGTATTTTTCTTATACTGTTGGACAAAATTTAGACCCTCATTTTAAATGTAAGTATACATATATTTTATGTATGATTATTATAATAACAGTTAATTGATCTAATATGATTTAGATTTTTTTATTATATGTTAAGTATGGAAATTAGGGTTGGCAAAATTTTTATAAAAAAATTGATTTGATTAAATTTTTTTTATTTTTAAAAAATATTATCTGGATGAAAATAAATCTATTTAACTAAAAATTATTTTATTATGTGTTTTCATTTAAGAGACCTGCAGAGGCACCATTTGCACGGCCCAGCCCGGTTTTAAATTTTTTAGACCTGGCCCGGCTCGGATATTTTTTTAAAAAATTTTTTACAGCCCGGCCCGGCTCGGATTTAAAAATTTAAGGCTTGGCCTGGATATTTTTTAAAAAAATTTTTTACAGACCGGCCTGGCCCAGATTTAAAAATTTCAGGCCTGGCTCGGAATTTTTTAAAATTATATTCGACCTAATATATACAAAAATTCACCTATGAGGTATTTTACCATATTTTTCAGTGAGTATTATCGCTTATTATTTAAAAAATACATGTAAAAAGCTAATATTTTGAGAATATTATATTGAATTTATAAAATTATAAAACTGTTATTTATAAAAATGGATATTTTGAGCATATACTATATTTTATATTGCATTTATAAAAATAAAACTAATATTCATAAAAATGGTAATAATATTTTGAGCATATACTATATTTTTGCATTTAAAAAAAATAAAACTAATATTTAATTTATAAAAATGGAAAATATTTTGAGAATATAATATATTGTATTTAATTTACAATTTAATTTATAAAATAAAAATAAATCGCTATTTAAAAAAATTCATGTATAATAAATAGTATTTTGAAAATATAATCTAATTGCACAATATTCATATAATTTATTTTATAATATAAATTTTTAACAAAAGAAGATAATTGTATTATATAATATTGTAAAAAAAAATAATGAAAAATGTTGGATTAAAAATTTTCATGACTCATGGTAAAATATAATAAATGCAATAAATATTTGACAGTTTGCAAAGTAAAAAACCAGCATGATTGACGAAACCCTATACTCAAGAAAGATATTAAAAATTCACAAATTATCATGAAGATAGAGAAGCATATCTACCTTTTCAGGTTGAAGATTACTTCTTCTTTCTTCAAAAATTCTTCCAGTAGTGGAAAAATTCCGCTCACAGCTTGCACTTGAAGCAGGAATTGCCAATACCCGTTTTGCCAATTTTGCTAAAATTGGAAATTCGCTTTGATGAGCCGCCCACCACTCTTACAAATTATCCACCTTAAATGTTTCATCTATTTTTTTATTTATGTAATTATAATATTCATCATCGGGTATTGACATATTACCATCGCCCCATTTGTCATAAAACGATTCAGTTTGTTTAACAACAGTCGTAATTTGACTGGTCGATGGTATTTCATTTACTTCCTGAGCCTCTTGTAATTTAATATAATCTTTTATATAGTTTTCCGTCATCTTGCGATCTGTCCCTGACAATATACATAATTGCTTGAATTTGGGACAGAGAAAAAGAGAAATAAAATGATACTTGTGTAAAACAAATTTTTCAATTAAAAAATGCTTTATATTAAGTAAAATCAATTTTATTTCTCCTTTTTCGCTTTGAAAAGTATTACAAACTTCAAGAAGTTCATAATACCAAATTACCACTTTAAAAAGAGTACAAGATTCCGACTGTAACTCAACAATAGCTCTGTTAAAATTCTCAAGAATTTTGACTAGATCCTGAAGGATCGGAAAGTCTATAATATAATACTTTTCCGATCCCCCATGTTCTTGAAGAACCTTTATAATTTCTTCATTTTGAGAATAAACAGAATTGAGCATATTGTATTTAGAGTTCCAGCGAACTTCTATATCTTGATAAAGGGCTTTCAAATGCTGGCATTATTACTTTGTTTTAAATGCCCCACTAATATTTTAGTATTATCTATTGTTGATTTTATTAATGGGGTATTACTTTCCAAATATTTGAAGTTAAATGAATTTCTTAAAATTGTATTTAATATATGACAAGAACAATTTAATCGTTCATTTAACTCCAATGCTTTTATAATATTTTTACCTTGGTCTGTAACAAATATTATATTAATAAAATCGTTAGTGTTAAAATTAGAATTATGAAAATTTTTTAATAGATCATCTTTAACTACTTATCTAGTCTTTGACACTTCTTTAAATTTAGCGGTAAATAGGTTTCTCTTCACTAACTTCCAGTCATCTGTAGTGCATGTTAACTGTTATAAACGAGTTCTTTTTATGGTCATCGCACCATATATCAGTGGAAGCAGCCATAAATCGATTCTTGATTACTGGGGCAATAGTATCAACCAAAATGCTTCTTATTTTATTACATTTTCCTTTAAGGTGGCGTGATAGAGTGGTGGGATGTGAAATCAATGAGTTATATCTATTTTACCATACTTTGCCCCAACATCGATTAGAGCCTGGCTGAATTCAAGAAACCCATTCCCAGCTATCATTTCGAAAGGTCTAATATCTTTTGCACAAAGTGTTAAGGAATGATCTATATATTTTTCTTTTAAATATTTTATATTACATTTATAGGTTGGTTTTTCAGGTGTAAATTTTTTTTATTAATTTTCATGGATTTACCATCACATTTATGTCTTTTTAAATGTGATGTACCATGTTTATAATTATAAGATAATATACTTGAACAATTCTTACATTTTACGTAGCCAATGTTTTTTTTATTTTCATCTATGATGATGTTAAATTTAGCCCATATTTCAGATTTTTTATTATTATTTGTATTCCTTTAAGAATAAATATTATTTTTAATTTTATTAATTATATCATTAGTATTTTGTGCCATGATATTCCTTTATTTGATTGTTTTGGTAAATATTCTAAAAATTTAGATATGAATTATAAAAAAAATATATTAATAATACTTGAATAATGGGGCTTATTTAAGATATTCCTTTATTTGATTGTTTTGGTAAAATATGTTGTAAAAATTTACATATGAATTATAAAAAAATATATTAATACTTTGAATAAATTTGCAGGAAATTAATAATTAGATCGATCTGTGGGTGTTAGGTAGTGTTAACCATCACCCAATATTATATTAATCATAACTATAATATAATATAATCTTATAACCATTAACTGATAATGTAAAAATTTTTATAAAAAATATTTTATACCTGGCCCGGCCCGGGTTTAACAATCTTAGGCCCGGCCCGGATATATATAAAAAAAAAATTTTAGGCCCGGCCCAGATATGTTTAAAAAAATTTTTTATAGGCCCAGCTCGGGTATATTTAAAAAATTTAAAATACGGCCTGGCTTAGAGCTGGGCCTGCAGGTCTCTGATAAATAGTTAATATTTGTTTATTTATAAAATTTTAAATACATTTTGAATTGAGATTAGCCTAGGTCATACTAACCCTACAAATGTTTAAAAATATAGTTTGGCCCATTCCATAAATTTGTTTGCACAGCTGCTTATAAAATGGTTTCCTTTAATAATCTATGAAAAAAACCATAAATTTGCTTGATTCTACTTAATTTTTTTTGCAAACTTCAGGCAGGGCCCATAAAAATATTTTGTGCAAATTTCCTGGCTTGATTTATAAATTTTTGCCCAGGTTGTGTCCTAATTCTGAGTTTACAATTTATAGGCAGAGGCTGTACGTGGTAAATAGTAAATAAGAAAAATATAGGCTAGGTGCCCCCAAACAGGGGTAAATAGAAAATTTTAGAGTGCTTGCTCCCAAATGAGGGTAAATAAGTTAATTATAGGCTAGGTGCCCCTATTTGGTGGTAAATAAAGAAAATTATAGGCTAAGTACCCCGAAATGGAGGCTTTTTTTTGTAGATTCAAACATTGTTTTTTTAAAAACTAACCTTTCTAACATTGTTTTTTAAAACTAACCTTGTTTTTTGTATAAATCTGTTTTTTTGTAAATTCTAACATTGTTTTTGTAAATTAACTGTTTTTTGTAAATTCTAATATTATTTTTTAAAACATTGTTTTTTAAAACTAACCTTGTTTTTTGTAAATTCTAACAGTGTTTTATTAAAACCAACCTTGTTTTTTGTAATCAAACTTGTTTTTTATAAATTCTAACATTGTTTTTTTAAGAATTAACTCTGTTTCTTGTAAATTATAACATTGTTTTTTTAAAACTATGTCTTAAATCTAATTTTATAATATAATATATTGTGACAAACATGAATAAGCTAATATAAGCAAAATATATAATTTATATCAATATTTTGTCAATGGGAATTGCTGTTTTTTATAATTTTGATAATCATTATAAAATCCAAACTGCTTTTTCTATATTTAAAAGATTTGAATAGGCCATGGGTTTATTTTCTGATATAAATATTTTCTTTGGATTCTTAAAAACTCCTAGTTGCTAAATTAAAATAAGGTACCCTATTTCTTCATTAGTTCATTCCAGAACCCTAGTATGTGCTATATAAATACCTGAATTTATATTGTATGAAAGATAGTACCATATTTTTTCATTCATTACATTGCATATTTTGCTCTCCATGTTCTCTTTATCTATAATAGTAAAAAAATTTTTTTTGATTATATTTTAAATTGGAAACTAATAAAAGAAATTCAAAAATGAACTACAAATAATGATATACTTTCATCATCTTTTTATTGTTTGTCTCTTTCCAAAATCATGTCAATATCTTATATGAAGATATAATTTTTTTATATCAAGATAAAATATTACTTTGTATAATTGCAGATACTTTCTCCTGTAAGGCTGGGGTAGCATGATGGTATAGATATGAGGTTGTAGCAGTATCTATAGATTTTAGAATATTTTATAATTTTATATTAGATTTGAGTTATTTTAATCTATTTTTTAGATATGGCATATAAATATGAAATGATAGGAAACGTTAGATGACGTGATCTATCACTAATACCAGAAATGGTATAATTAAATTTTAGTGCTAAAAATATTTTTTTGTTTTTGTTTTTGTTTTAGTTTTAAATTAATATTTTAATATGGAAAAATAGTTAATTTTTTTATAAATTACATATAAAATTAATCATAATATCAACAAAATATTGAATCAATATTTATCAGAGACCTGCAGAGGCACCATTTGCACGGCCCGGCCCGGTTTTAAATTTTTTAGACCTGGCCCGGCCCGGATATTTTTTTAAAAAATTTTTTACAGCCCGGCCCGGCTCGGATTTAAAAATTTAAGGCCCGGCCTGGATATTTTTTAAAAAAATTTTTTACAGACCGGCCTGGCCCAGATTTAAAAATTTCAGGCCTGGCTCGGAATTTTTTAAAATTATATTCGACCTGGTATATACAAAAATTCACCTATGAGGTATTTTACCATATTTTTCAGTGAGTATTATCGCTTATTATTTAAAAAATACATGTAAAAAGCTAATATTTTGAGAATATTATATTGAATTTATAAAATTATAAAACTGTTATTTATAAAAATGGATATTTTGAGCATATACTATATTTTATATTGCATTTATAAAAATAAAACTAATATTCATAAAAATGGTAATAATATTTTGATCATATACTATATTTTATATTACATTTAAAAAAAATAAAACTAATATTTAATTTATAAAAATGGAAAATATTTTGAGAATATAATATATTGTATTTAATTTACTATTTAATTTATAAAATAAAAATAAATCGCTATTTAAAAAAATGCATGTATTATAAATAGTATTTTGAAAATATAATCTAATTGCAAAATATTAATATAATTTATTTTATAATATAAATTTTTAACAAAAGAAGATAATTGTATTATATAATATTGTAAAAAAAAATAATGAAAAATGTTGGATTAAAAACTTTCATGACTCAAGGTAAAATATAATAAATGCAATAAATATTTGACAGTTTGCAAAGTAAAAAACCAGCATGATTGACGAAACCCTATACTCAAGAAAGATATTAAAAATTCACAAATTATCATGAAGAAAGAGAAGCATATCTACCTTTTCAGGTTGAAGATTACTTCTTCTTTCTTCAAGAATTCTACCAGTAGTGGAAAAATTCCGCTCACAGCTTGCACTTGAAGCAGGAATTGCCAATACCGTTTTGCCAATTTTGCTAAAATTGGAAATTCGCTTTGATGAGCCGCCCACCACTCTAACAAATTATCCACCTTAAATGTTTTATCTATTTTTTATTTATGTAATTATAATATTCATCATCGGGTATTGACATATTACCAGAATTACCATCGCCCCATTTGTCATAAAACGATTCAGTTTGTTTAACAACAGTCGTAATTTGACTGGTCGATGGTATTTCATTTACTTCCTGAGCCTCTTGTAATTTAATATAATCTTTTATATAGTTTTCCGTCATTTTGCGATCTGTCCCTGACTACATACGTAATTGCTTGAATTTGGGACAGAGAAAAAGAGAAATAAAATGATACTTGTGTAAAACAAATTTTTCAATTAAAAAATGCTTTATATTAAGTAAAATCAATTACAAACTTTAAGAAGTGATAATCCTTTTTTGATTGTTTTGGTAAAATATATTCTAAAAATTTAGATATGAATTATAAAAAAATATATTAATAATACTTGAATATTGGGGCTTATTTAAGATATTCCTTTATTTGATTGTTTTGGTAAAATATGTTGTAAAAATTTAGATGTGAATTATAAAAAAATATATTAATACTTTGAATAAATTTGCAGGAAATTAATAATTAGATCGATCTGTGGGTTGTTAGGTAGTGTTAACCATCACCCAATATTATATTAATCATAACTATAATATAATATAATCTTATAACCATTAACTCATAATGTAAAAATTTTTATAAAAAATATTAAGACCCGGCCCCGGCTTAACAAAAATATACCCGGCCCGGATATATTTAAAAAAAATTTTTTAGGACTGGCCCAGATATGTTTAAAAAAATTTTCTAGACCCGGCCCGGGTATATTTAAAAAATTTTAAATACGGCCCGGGCCGGGCTTAGGGTCGGGCCTGCAGGTCTCTGATATTTATTAAACAGAAATAATTATAGAAATTTTTGGTATTTTTTTAAAAAAATGAATAATGTTTTTTGTGACAAAAAATAATTTTAGGATATGCAAAAAATTATTTATAATAATAAAATTTACCATTACAAAATTTAGATGGAAAATTAGGAAAACATATTATTTTTTTACCATAAAAGCAAAAACTAATAATTAATTGAAATACATAGAATTTATTTATATTGTAATTTTTATTTAATATTGATTTAATCATTTCAACCTTTTAGAAATTAGATTTTAATAATTTTAGTTTTGCAAAAGCTTAATATGATTATGAACAAGATGTAGAGTCATTCCATATCAAATCAGCAAAAAAATTAAGATCTTTATCCAACCCCTTTATATTTTCATAAAAATATGTAAGAATGTTATATATGATACAAAAACGAAATATTAGCTCATTAGCAATATAACCTGAGATAATGGATAACCTTTACAAATGTTAAATAATATAACTTGCTTACAAATTTTTATTGAAATTGAAGTGGATCAGCTGTGGGTTTGCTTGATTTTAAGTGAAATGAACCTAATAATGAAGGTATTTTAGTAAAGAAACTCTTAAGCAAAATGTATAAATTGATTCCATTGTCAAATCCCTTGCAGTTTTAATTAAACTTTATGTAATTAATTAATCTGGTCTTTTTTTTGTTTTATGTTCAAAACAGTTCAAAATCCAATGCAAAATTCTGGAGCTTTTATCATAAAACATATGTTAACGCAGGCCTTCCCACCCCACGAATGGGAGGATTTGTTTGAAATTATCACAGATATGCATAACATAGGTATCAATATATATGCTGTCCAAAGGGCTTTGGAATTGCATTTCAACACTGACAACTTCAGCTTAAATCAAGAATATAAGAAGTTTATATGGCATTTTATATTAATATTATTTAAAAAAAATTAATATAATCAGAAAATGATATTAGGAGGAATCTAATCATATTTATACAATTCTATTTTTATCATTACAGATTTTTCTTTTAGACTAGTTAACAAAAAGTATTGGTAGGAAATGGAAAGAATTAATTATATGTTATAACAAGCAATTACTATTTTTTTTTACAAATGTTTAGACTTGATTAAAATAAATTAATATTTATAAGTGTTATTTAATATAAAGGTATTTTTATTGAGCTAAATTCGAAAGAAATAAATAAAGAGCTGAGCAATTTGGGCCTACAAAATTGAACTTTACACATCTTTGATTAATATATACCAGCTATATTATAGCTCTTTGGAAATCTTAAAATTATCTGCAATATTTAGGTTTAAAATTATTTGCAAAATTTTTTTTCGGCATTCCCTTAATTAGGGCAACACCATTATCTTTGTCTCACTTTGGTTTTGTTTTGATTTCATTTTTTCTCAAATATTTTGTTAGGGTGTTGGAAAGGGAATAAATTTTAATTCATTTACTATTAACAATATCAATACTGCAAAAAATTTAAATATTTTATTATTGACAGTTGTCTGCCTAACAATTTTAAAAATTGTAATATAAAGATTTTAGAATAAATTTTATGATTAATGTTAATTTTATTATTCCTCAATTTTTTATTACTAATAATTTTTGATAAGCCTATTTATTTGCCTCATTACAAACAAGACATGATAGATCCATATTACCTATTTTTATACGCTCATTCAAAGTTTCAAATTTTTCTTAGTTCACTATAATCCACCTAAATTTTTCTTCTTCTGTAGTTTGATCTAAAGTTCAATTTTTTAAAGAAGCCTGATCTGGCCAGACAAATAAAAATCCATTCAAGCCAGATACAAAAAATAAACTGCAAATTAACAAACATAAAAGAATGTAAAAGAAAAAAAGGAAGTGAAATAAAGTTTAGAAATAAAATTAAACGAGAAAGTTATTTTTATTTTGACAATAGGAAAGTATTCCTGAATTCTGAACACTTATTCGGATTTGTCTATTTAATAATATATTGTTTATATTAGATTTGGAACAGTACTCAACAAAATATATTTATTTTTTAAAATTTTACCATATCAAATTCAAATTTATTTTGAAATTTAAAAAATGTAATCTGTAAAATATATAATGCATGGTTAGTTTAAAAAAGATCATCTCTGATCTGAAGGAGGAATAGGCCCTACTCTACTTCGAATGGGCTAGACTCATTCAGAGTTTCAAATAGTAAAAAATTTGTTTTCATCATGAAAGATTTTTTATGCTGAAAAATCACAAAAGATTTTTTACAAAAAAATTTGAAATTTTAAATAAAATTTGATGTTTGCACATCCTTAAAAAACCTTTTTTTAAGAAAAATCTTTAGAGATCAAAATTTTTTATTTTGAAGTATTTCTAACTCTGATTATAGATTTATTTGGTTAGAAGCAATTCAAAGTGAACCACAAATATTTATTGTTACAAATGAGAATTTGTGAAATTAAATTGTTGATATGTATTTTATTTTAATTTTTTTTATTAACAGATACATGCAATTGATGAATAATCTTTCCGTTCCTGTTCGACCTCATTATTTTTGGCCCATTCTAGCTAATTTAAATAGCAACTATAACTATAGAACGATGGATTTAATTAAAAAAAATTTGTTCGATACACTCAACTATATGAAAAGAGATTTTGGTTAGTATTTAAAACTTTTTTAAAAGTTTAATTCATTATATAAAGTTCCATCTAGTGTGGGTAAATGGCTGGTTTTACACGGCCATGACCCTGGTTTTTGGTCGAAAAAATGAACCAACCCAACCAACGATCCATATACCCTAGCACACTATATTTGATAATATTAGATTCTTTTTTAAATAAATTATTCTCTTTTTATAATCTGAAAATATTGTATAATTTTTATTTTAGACCAGCAACTCGAGTCGTGAATCTGAGTTGTGAACGTGAACCCAATTTAAAAATTGGAGGGAGGATGAGTAGTTCAATATTCACATATAATTATCGTATTAAAATGAATATATTAGATCCTTTTTTAAAATAAATTGTTATTATCTTGATCTGCAAATATTATATATTTTATTTATATTTTCCACCACTCTCACGAACTCGAGTGTTGATCGGGGACCCAAATTAAAAACTAGAGGACGAGTAGTTCAATATTCACATCAAAATAATTATCGTATTTTTTTTATTAAATGTTCTCATCTTGTTTATGTAGGTAAGGTGTAGAATAACTGTAAGCAGGAACGAATCTAATAATATAAAACCTAGATTGTCTCAATATAAAAATCTAATAAGGGAGACCGTGGTTATATTTTTCCATAAAAACTTAAGTGCTATAAAAAATAGATTAAGCAAATTTTTAAAATATTTTAAAGTAGTTTTTTTCTTTACATATCTTTATGGTTAATTAATATTTAAGAAAAATGCTGCGGGATAACACAATCCCCGGTCTCTCTTGAACCTCGGTATTGATATAAAAATACCGAGTTATATTAGATATCTCATGACAAAATATATTGTATTAGTCATAGTTAACAATTGAATATATATAATTATAATAGGTGTTTATTGCAAAACAATTAATTATAAGTTTAGAAGAATTAAATAAAATTTCAGAAAATCAAATTAGTATTTTGTACATAGATCTGCGCAATTTTTTTTAAATATTTATAATTAATTATCTTTATAAGATAAATAATTGTTTTCTTAAAATAATATCATGGTTTGTCCTTGCAAGAATTTTAAATATATCAATTTATTAACAAAATGTAATATATTTAAAAATTTAAGCTCGACTCGGCCCGAAATTTTTAAAAGAATATTAGGCCCGACCCAGCCCGAAATAAATAAGGTGTAATTTATATATTAAAGATATTTTAGTAAAAATCTATTTAATAAAAAATTATAAGGCATTTTCATAGCTTTTATCTAAGGTTTCAGTTGCTTAAAATCAACTATCTAAAAAATTTCATAACTCTCAAATGGGGATATTTGATAAAATTTTCTTTAGAATCATTTTTTAGAAATGACGCTTACAAATATATCGATCTTTAAAGATCGTTGCTCAAAATTTTTTATCAATAAAAAAACTTGAAATTTTTTTTCAAATTTTTGAGATAGATCTTGCTTAAAATTTTTACATAACTCTGAGAGTAAGATTCCAAATTTTTAGCGATTTAGAACCTATCCCTTAACATTTATTATTAATATAAACAAAAATACTTGTGAATTTCATATATTTATATTTTTTGTTATATGTATGACGCCACTTATATTGAAAACAATCTATAATATATATATAAACCTTGTCATGTGACTGTCACACTTTCACAATTTATAATATATATATTCAAAAAATCGTTAATTTTGATAAGTGACTTGTGGCCCAATCGGCAAGTGAGTCGCTTACAAATCTAATGGACTTAGGTTAGATTCCCAGCAAAGATTTTTTTTTCTCAATCTGGCAAAATATTATTTTCTTTCTTAATCTGGCAAAATTAATCAAATAGATACGATTCAAAGTTTGTAGCTACTTTAAAATTCAAACTATTAAATAGGTATTCTTATATTTTTAAATTTTTAATATTCTTTTAGAAAATATTTGTCCAATAAAAATCACCATAGAATCATATCTTATCAAACATTCATCCATCTTCCATTACCATCTTATACATCATCATATATATATTAGAACTAACTGAAATATCTATAATATGTATTATAAATCGTGACACTGATATTTTTTTAATGCTATGATTTTTTTCTAAAAAACCATTTCATGGTCGTGAATTTTGAAAAGTGTCTATGGCCTAATCGGTAAGAGCGTCGATTACAAATCTGATGGACTTAGGTTCGAATCTCAACAATGATTATTTTTTTTCTTAATCCAACTTGGTGGTTCCGTCCTTTGAAAGATGCGCAGGAGTTGAGAAAACAAGTTTCCGCTAAAGTAAAGCCAATGATGCTTTTTAGATGAAAAATTGTTAACTAAATTCCCATTGGACCTGAAAATGTTGTCATTTGCAGACCTCTGGTGGTAAATGCATAGGAAAAGTGGCAGACGCATATCATTTATAAATGGATTCTTTGGCAGAAGTAAAATCCATTATGATCTGCTGTTTCCGATGTCATCCTGATTAGAGGTCTGCAATGGGCAAGTTTTGGTGCACCTGCCTGCTCAATTATTTAAAAATTTTGTTTAACTTGCCTGTCCAATGTATAAAAATTATTATATTGGTTGATTTGGCTCTATATGTATTATTTTAATGTTTTTTACATAAACTTATAAATTATGTAATAAAAAAATAACACTTATAATATCTATCTATAATCTATAATAATAATATATATATAAACCGTGTCACAGTCACAATGTTACAATTTATAATATATTTTAAAAATTCACGATTTTTTAAAAGCGTCTGTGGCCTAAGCAAGAGCGTCGCGTCATGGGGTTCGAATCCCAGTAAAAAATTTTTTTACTTAATCTGGCAAAATTAATTAAATAGAAGATAAAATAATTAAGTGTGACATATTCACATACTCAAAGTTTGTTGTTACAGTGAAACGATACACATGTTTAAATATACTATAAAAGGGGGTAAACAAAATAAGATTTTATTTTTAATAGAATAAAGATTGAAATTAAATATGGACAAGCAATTAATTAAGAAGATTTATAGTTGATTAATCATTATAAAAAAAATGTGTTAAAATTTAATTCAAAATAAAAAATTAAAATACTTACATATTAATTATTTTTAATTTTTCTTAAATAATAAAAAAAAATGTTTAATATAGAATCTTTATTATCCAATAGTAATACTAATTTTTCCAATTTAAATGAAAACTCCCAATCTTCGTCGAGAATTCAAAGACCAAAAAGAATACACAAATATTGGAATAAAGAAAAATTAGATATATTTACCAAAATGTTATCAATGCCGGAAGAACAACAAATGTTTGATAAATTTTAAATATAATTTTTATGTATTAATTATTTTATCGAAATTATTATAAAAGTTTATAGTGTTATCATATTTTTATCGAAATAAATGGATATACAAAATAGATTACATTTAAGAAATTCTAAAATATTTTCAAATATTAAAAAGACTTTTTACAAAAAATGATTTAGAATTTTAAATGAAATTTAATCAAATATCTTACTTGAGCATTCTCAAAGAAAATAAGAAAAAAATTCATTTTTCATCACAAATTATATATATGTAACACATTTCTTTTTATAATGATTAATCAACTATTAATCTTCTTAATTAATTGCTTGTCCATATTTAATTTCAATCTTTATTCTATTAAAAATAAAATCTTATTTTGTTTACCCCCTTTTATAGTATATTTAAACATGTGTATCGTTTCACTGTATTTTAAAATTCAAACTATTAAATAGGTATTCTTATATTTAAAAATTTTTCACAACGTAATAACCAATAGTATTATTATAGCAATACCATATCAAACACTCAAAATAATATCTAACATTACCATCTAATACATCATAAACATATATCTATCTATCTATAATATATAAAAGCCGTGTCATAGTCACAGTGTCACAATTTATAATATATATTTAAAAAAATCGTCAACTTTGAAAAGCGTCTATGGCCTAATCGGCAAGAGCGTCGCTTACGAAGCTGATGGCTTTGGGTTCGAATCCCAATGCATTTTTTTTGTTAATCTAACTTTGTTTACTTTTTTTAAATTATATTAATTTTTATTATTTATGTACTCAAAAAAAATTTAATTTTGCCAGATGAGGGTTTTGTATATTGTTATCATGGAAACAGATTTTGGATTTGGACTTATTAAGAATGAGTCTTTTAAAATTGGCTTCAAGAAATTGAAAACCAATTATTTTAGGAAGAGCATCACAGATTGTTCCATCATCAAGATTCCAAATAATTATATCCAAATCAAATTTAGATTTAAGATAATGGATGTGATAATGAATTCCAAGGTAAAATAAACGAGGACGTTCTCCCCCTGCTGGATCCTTTTGTCAGAATCTATGACATGTGGTCTGAATAAAGAAATTTTAAGTTTACAGTATGTCTCTAGGAATTTTGAATAAACAGGAAATTTGGGATAAAAACAATTTATGAAATGTTCACAAAATTTGCTATTAACATTTTTAAAGTCTACTTTGATAATACCCATGTTAGGAGGAGGATTTTGGAATACAAATGGCATGTGAAGCTATGCCTTCTCCCTTAACACCAAATCTTAATTGATACTTAATAAGTTAAGACCCTGGGTTTTGATCCATGGCAATTATTTTTGCTAATAATTTTCTATATAGCCCATTGCAATGGGGTGGATACCACCAAAGTGTTTGTGAGATAATCAGGTTTGCCCCCATGATTGACTTAAAAGAGTATTTCGGAAGGTTTTAAAAGCATTTAAAATGATTCTTTGAGAAGAATGTAGATTTTATACGAAGTGAGAGAGCAAAAACCATTGCGTCAGGATGTGGAAAATTTCTTAAAAGAATTGATAAATATCGTAATTCACAAATCATATTTTTTTTATTCCATATTTTTCATAATATATTTGGCCTTTCTCTAAAAATTTATAGAAATATTGGAAGATGAATACGGATAATCTATTCATCTCATTTGACTATTCTGATTCATCCATCGTCAAATGAAGGT